TGTAGGTACTATATTTACACGGTAATGCAAATGAAAACTCGTTTCAGTTTACTATCATTTCTCGATAATGCTAACCGAACTACACTGTAACGAAATGTACAATATAATGTACAAGCAAATATATATCGTAAATGTTTATTGATAAAGTTTGTTATATGATTGGTAATATGCCCCTGTTGAACACCTGTCGTGGCATCCGCATCGTGGGAATATGGGGTAGTCGACATTTACATAAAAGTATAATGAAAGTTAATCTATAAATGGCAAGGTTTACGGTACCTTTCGTTTATTTGTAGGGTTTGGGATGTGGATGGAACAAAATCCACTTCTTTGTTCTGTAATCAAGACGGTTTATGGGCGTTGGGAAGATAAAAATTAGACCATAGACAAGTATGAGGAAAACTGGACAAATGCGCAGTGTAAGACTTATTGTGTAATTAAATTATATATTATATACCTGTTACTCGCAACTCTGCATTATTGTTTTTAAGACAAACACATCTCCCCTTTCAGATTCCATACCTACCGTATGTCCATCTCCGTGAGTACATCTTTCTTTGGTATACTTACTTTACTCTGGTATATCTAACGTCAAATCTTTAATTAAGATCCCTATAGTCGTTTAGAAATGAAATGGCAACAAATTTATTAATTTCATTTCACTTATTCACAATTTATATTGTGTTGATTTTTATTATTTAGTTAGGTACCTATACGTCTATGATAAATACATGTTAAATAAGGAAAATATCAATTTGATAATAATAAATTACATGGCATGTCCATCACTTATTTTATAATTCATTAATTGTACACTTCTTCAATAAAAGAGACAATATTAAAGTTTTGCCACTTATACAACATCTCGTGTCCTCTTTACTAAACGTTGGCGGGTAGCTCCATATTATATGTAAAAAATTCTTTAGAAATCATCTCTCTAAATCATTATTCTCACGTTATGGACTCAAAATTTATAAATATTTGTTCATCAATCACGCAGGTTATACAATAATATTTTTTTTATCCGCACGTCCGTCGGCGACCCGGAAATCGGCCCCGGATACGAGGCTTTTTGCTTTCGTTCTTAATAAAAACGAGTTGATAGGCAAGGGCGTGAGTTTTTATATTCACCTGTCTCCATGGGAAATATCGTGTGAATGCAAAAAATGGACCAGATCTATGGAAATGATGTAAGTTATTTGTTAAATAAAATAATTAAACATAGGTACTATACAAAGATGATTTTATATATAGAAGGACGGATTTCGAAGTAAAGTATTTAGTCATTTTACTGGCCTATCTCGCCGTAAAATATTATATATTACAGAGCAATTGCTTAATTCCCGAAAGAAGAGATAGAGGTATCCACGCAGAAAATGTTTTACAAAGTCTACCTAAGTAAAAAAACAAAGCATACCTCTTGTCTACATGTTCCTTATTTTTTACCGTGAGATGAAAACATCTCTAACTTCCTACCATATGACCACAGAGTATAAAATGCCATATTATAAAGTCTTACTTTTTGCTCGCAGTAAATTACGTCCCTTGATCCCTCGAGGAAGGAAACTGCCCCGTTATTGTAATAGTTCACACGCCCAGTTGTCACTTATAAACTCAGTCACGTGAGAGAATTCATTTTATTTAAAGTTTTTTAGATACTTACCATCTTCCTTTAGAAACAAGGGATATCGAAATAACCGTTTTTTACTACATTCATATGAATATAAATACGGTACATACACCAAAACAATATTTTTTACAATATTTGTCTGTCTGTATGTCGGTCTGTTTGTTCCGGCTAATCTTTAAAATGGCTGGACCGATTTTGGCGGGACTTTTTTTGGCAGGTAGCTGATAGAAAATCATTTATTCAAATAAACTTAATTTAAGCACTTTTGAATAGTCATAACAATTTGTTTTTTATCTACCACTCGTTCGGAAAGCTGTCTCATCACAAGAAGAACGAGCAAGAAACTTGTGTGTTGCTCTTTTAAATAATCCTTGTAAGTTTACATTTACAAGTCGAAACGTGTGAATACAAACTACCAACAAGCACTATTTTTTTGGGTCAAATATAAAGTAATGATGTAATAAAGAGTAACTTAGGTTACCTTTATTTTAGAAAAATGAAGTTAAATTCTACGCGGACGAAGTCGCGGGAACAGCTAGTTATTTCAATAATATTAAAGATTAATGTTAAAAGCGATCTAAATTCAAATCCATATTTAATCTGGTGTAGACGGCCTCAGTGGTGTAGTGGTTTTAAATAGGTAATAAATAGGTACGATAGTCTTTTAACAACTTGTGATAGTTGTCCATTTATACCTTTCGGCCATTTTTTATATGTAAGTCACATTTTTTAACCGCTGTCACTATAACCCATATATAAAATGGTAAATACACATATTGTTTACTTGGTATTGGTTATGACGGCACCTATGATATTGTGATATTTTTTCATCGCACTATTCCGAGTATGACTGCTTGTATTTGTAGTGTTCTGGGTGTTTTCCACACAACAGACTTTTCTAAGATGTGGTATTTTCTAAACGAAACATATACATGTATAAGTATTTTAATAATTGTTTAGTAGGTACTCTACTTAGTTTATGACTAGATGACGAAGTGTGATATGTCTAGGGTTATTTATTTAATAATTTAAAATAACTGATAACCAACAATTCCCATTTGCTCCCCTATTTAACACATCAACGACACATGACATCGGATTATTAACTATTCATTAGCCCCATCACGCGATCGCATGTAATACAGTCACACTCGGTTTCATGATGATTACAATGACTACATTTACTGTTACCTGCATCAACTAATAATCAATTTAGAACCATACGCACAGGACATACGAACTACTATGTAAGTTTCAGAACAATGGATAATTTTGTCGTAGATATCCTGACCATTTCACGTTTTCATTTGAAAGTTATTAATGAACCTCTGTGGCTTTGTGTTAAGGTTGATATTTAAAAAGAAATTTATCGAAAAGTTTGTATAAATTAGGATAGACCGTGGGAGAATGTGGTGACTATTATATGTATAAATAATTATTCACGTGATGCAGTTTATATAACATATATGAGAATGTATGTAAAGAAAGGTCATTCGATATGAACACCTGGACGAATAAGGGGGCGACAAACCAACCTTTTGTATAGTTAGGGTTGTACTACTTATTTAGGTATTCATACCTACGTACATATGTCTAGACTCTGGAGGTCAACAATTCAATGAGATCATAATAACCTTGACTACCGTACCGTTAGTACAGTATTATGTTATTTGTATCTCAACCAGTCTCGATAAGTAGGTACCCAATAGGCAGGTACTTACAATATGTTTGCAAATGGCAAGTAAATTTTATAATTCAAACTATGTAGTTATTGTTATATTATAAAAATAACACATTTGATTCTTTATTTGAAATAATAATAAGTGGTCGAAATTCGACCATAATAAAAAATACAAAAAGATCTCTGAACCAGCAATAAGAAATATAAACTTACTCGTATATTTTAACAATAAAATAAGGAGGTATATATGTTATGTATAGCTCGTGGAGGTATACATAACTTATATACCTCCACGACTGTTATCCCAGATGGGGTAGTCAGACTCATTGTCGACACGTCGTCGTGAACATTTCTCTACAAACCTATATGATTATCCAACGTAGCAGATGCCAGATTACCACAGCCTCTCAAATCAATTTTTGTTCTTGGTTTTTCTCCTTCACCAGAAAGTTAGTGAGTAACATAAATAGAAAAACAAAGATTTTTATGTCGACCAGATTTGAACCCAAGATCTTTTCGTCAAGCTGGGGCGACAACCACTATGTCAGAGCCGTCTCTAAAAAAATATAATGCAATACCAGCATTTAGTAATAAAGTTCTCTTGAAAAGAAAGTACTTAACTAATACCTATCTTTACCCACCTAGAGGCACCCTTGCACCTTGGCACATTCCCACACACCGTGAGAACCCGACAGTACCCCTGTCCATAAAGTACCATATTACATGAACGACGACACGCGAGCAAAAAATACGCCACTACATGGACGCACCCTTCACGGTACACGGCGAACAGAAAGTATAGAATTAACTGTCAAGGTGTGCCCGCAAATAAATGCGGTGCTTGATGGAACGGCGCCGGCTCATAAAGTAGACGGTTTGTGTTGGTGGGGTGAATGGTAAATAATTACGGTTCATGATGGATCCGCGTACGGTCCTGCATTCCCATACAATACAGGATAAGGGGCGGCGGATGTAGCTTCACTCACTATTGACTGGTCTTTTTTTATTTTTTTTAACACTTAATATCGTTGACACAGTTTTAATTTCTTGATTTTAGATGCTTTTTATATATGTATATATAAATTATTTACGTTTATATTTATTTATGGATTAACTATATATATAATATATTGTTTTATTTGTTATTTCTGCTACTCGGGTGTAATTGATTTTATATTAAATGTTTTAGTAAGTTTAAGTTTTTCATTGTCACCGTTTATTAAAACTACAGGTAATAGAGAATATTATAATAAAACTGTGACAAAAAAAATTTTTCCGTCATCTCAAGCTGAAATTGATGTGAACCTTTTTAGTAATTTATACTTTTTTTTTGACAAATTATTATTATTATTAATAAGGCTTTCTTTTTATCCTATGTATTAAAAAAAAAATATTATTTGTGTATATATCTTTGTTTGTAATAAAAAAAAATACGCAGAACGGAATCGAACCCAATCCTATCAATAACTCCTAACCACTCGCCCACTGGCTCCATTCACAACAGGTTCCCCCGTAGAGCGAGACGGAACGAAAACAAAACATTCCGATACAGTTCCCACCGTAGTAACACCTTGGTGCAAGCGAGACAGGTATATTTTATCATTGCACTACACAAACAGGATAAGTACGGGAAGAGGCAATATTAAAATTTGCCTTTACGATAAATGACATTGTGTGAAGTGACCTCAGTCAGTGAGGACGTGTGGTAAAGTGTTAGTGATAATTTTGTGGTATATCGGAACAATGCCGTGCAGTGAGGACGATGATTCCCAAACAGGGTTTGCAACGGAAGCAACTCAGGGAATGTCGAAAGCAGAGTTACGAAAAGTAAGTGATAATAATATTTAATCAATTTTAATGTGCCATGTCATACGTTAGGAAAAGCGAGCTCTGGAGAGAAAAATACGCTCGCAAAAATAATAATCTCACCTTAAGAGTTGGTCCTGTTTTAGTACGAAATTAAATCAGTATCTACCAGACCGAAAAGTAATATTTTCTATATTATTTTATCGAGTTCTATTTCACCCGATGATGAGAACATGAAAAATACATATATAATTATTGTCAATTGCAATCAAATTAAATAAGTCGCTATTCGCGGATTTTTTTTGTATATATATTTTTGTATGTTATACTCTATAAACACACAAAATAAAATATCTGTTTCCCATGTTATTAATTTATTCGTACACATAACTTACTTATGCGACATATGTATGCGGACATAATTGGCACGTAAAGTGTTGTCTCAGTGGGTTAGTGGTTTCGCACACCGCTTTATATCAGGTTCGATTCTCGTATGATACAAACATTTGTCGTAATTCATGGGCATGATTGGTTTAATCTGTGTGTTTCTATGTATTATTTCTAAGTATGTAAATACTGTATATAAAAAATGTATTTAAATATTTTATTACCTGATTTTTCTATAGTACAAGCTTTGCTTAGTTAGGGTCTAGATGGCGTTGTGTGTTATTAATTATATTATTATTTTCATTTTTGCAGACTAATAAGCCAATAATGGAAAAAAAGCGACGAGCTCGCATCAATCACTGTCTCAACGAACTTAAGGATTTGCTCTTAGATGGCAAGGAGAAAGACGTAAGTATTTTATTATATATTTTATTTAATTAAAAGTCGAATATAATGAAGACATGAAGCACCATGTACCTCTTATAATATAACGCCTGTTGTTGACCTCACGTTGCTATTCCTGAGAATGAAATGAATGTGCAGCCTGTATTTTTATTGCGATATCTTCAAACGAAACACAGCATTCAAATAACGGTAGATAAGACAGAAATATTGACGCAGACGCATATTATACAATTTCCCCCTAGGTACATTCTCTTATGTAGGCACTGTATTTTTAAAAGTAACACTGAAATATTTTTGCGTCTGTGCCTACACTTTTAATATTTCTGTCAATACTCGAAACGCTTCATAAGTACCGCTCCAGATAACGCAGATTTACGTTAAGTGTAAAATCAGTGGAATAATGTGTGATAAGCCATGTAGCACACTTTCTATTAAACTTACTAATGCAAGTACAATAAATAGTACAGTTATTTCACCGGTACACTCACCACCTGATGGTGATAACCACCGCGCTACACAACAATTAGATTACACTTACTCAGATATCGCTTTTTCTAGATATCCAGGTAGGTTCTTAATATTCTTGACGTCAAAACTTCTTCAATCAACTACTTTACTGGAAAAACTGCATTATATAGGTACTTCATTATTTTTTACAGTCATCAGTACTAATGAATTGTAATCTATTGTAGATAGGTACTTATTAATAAAAACTGTTTGAAACTAAAAAAATATCGCAATTATTTTTGTATTTGTGCCTAAACTAGGTTTATCTTGGCTAATATGCGTCTAAAATATTTTCCAACGTAAAGTATCACGAAATTTCATTTATGGACCTCTATTAACATATGGAATTATTCAGTGCAAATGTGTTTTAGATATAGATACTGATACTGTTATTTATTTACATTGATGTACAGTATAATAAAATATATATTATAATTTTTTCAGCCCACCCGCCATTCAAAACTTGAGAAAGCTGACATCTTGGAGTTAACAGTGAAACATTTGCAAACCCTACAACGGCAGCAGCTGGCAGCCGCCATCGCAGCCGACCCCGCCGTGCTACACCGCTTCAAGGCAGGCTTCGGAGACTGCGCTGTCGAGGTCCGAAGATATCTCTCACGATTGGCCAGCGTCCCCACCGGCCTGCGGCACCGATTAGGGAATCATCTCAGTTCGTGCATCAACGGAATTGAACACCTACACCCGGTCAAAGATTACCCGCCGCTCATCCCTGATCCACTAAGGCTAGATGACGAAAGACCCAGTGCCTTCCACTTTGTTAGGTCAACTAGACCGACCAGTCCACCTTTAAGTCCATTGTCATGTGATTCAGCTTGCGACTCCTCGACTGAACTAGAAACTCCTCCGAGGCCAGTTCAGACCTTCCCATTTCCCACACCACCGAGCAGATCGGCTTCCGATCAAGATTCAAGTCCCGAAACACAAAAACCCACTGTTTCATCTACAACTATATCACCAGAGACTTTGAAACAAGAGGCGCTTAGGAACAAGAAATACATGGAGCCGCTTTCCATCATAATAGACGTAGAAAACTACAAAATAGGTATAGATGCATCACCGAAAAGAGCCGTAGATTATTCTGTAAGGCACAAACTGAAGAGAGCAGCACCAGATGTGACTGGTCCTCTCCCGAAGATCATAAAACTGGACGCAGAGAGAACAGTTAACATTCCACAAAGAATCGTTTCGTATGAGCGTTCTTCTCCTGAAAAGATATCTGCTTTTAAACGGTTACCAGAGAGAAGGTTAACAATTCCAGTGAGTATACCAACCGCAGCAGAGATACCTAATTTAGAAAATAGATTACCTATAATGCCAGAGGTTGTAGCGATACCAAGATCTGTGATAAGCCATACAGCGGAGTCATTGGCTCAGTCTTCGAGTAGCCGAAAAGAGGAGAAGCTAGAAATCAAAATTGAAGTAGACGCCAATTCAAGATCTCCAGGACAGGGCGCCTCCAACAGTACAGAAATGTGGAGACCCTGGTGAAATGTTATTGTATATAAAAAAATATTATAAAATGCAGCTTTAAGATTACCTGTTCGGTAACGTACGTTTTTTGGATATATTATTAAGATTTTTTATAAAAGAGTTATTTTTACCTTTTTTTTGTATTTTCATTTCAATTGCCTAATACGTTCTGGGATAATACATTGTAGTATTCCTACTTAATAAAACAACTAAATTAAAACATTAATGATAACATAGTTAATTAATATGTACGAGAAACCATCTTGTGGTCTTACACACACATTTTTTAACATTCTTGTAATTAGGTATATATATTTCTATCTACATTCTTAGATTTGTATGTCCTATACGTGTCTTAGTTTATCTCCCTTTATTTCAATTTCCATAGCATAGAGATATCTGTGGTTTTTTAATTCACGATTCTAGATACATTATATTCGATAAAAAAAATGTTAATAGGATGAGAATATTGGATATATTATATTAAAGTAAAACACATACATATTACTAAATAGGTTTAATTGGCAAGCTTATATCACATTGCACTGTAAAAAAATATTCATTGGCTGTTAGCTACTTTTATTAACTAAAATAAGTCTTTGGTAACAATATTAAATAATAAGCTTGTTTATGGTCCATCTATTAGGCAGAATTAGCCTAAAATGACGAAATTACCATATTACCCCCAATTGTTATCAGAAACTGACGAAGGCCCTTGTAGAAATCGCTATATCGTTTTTGGTGCTGTTCGTGCGTTACAGTAAATTAAGTGAAATTGTTAACTATCATTGAAATCGAACTGACTGTCATTAAAAGGCTGTATAACAGCCTGCAAACAATCTGCTATAGAGGAGAAGTGTATAATATATAAGAAACTTTATCATTTAAAGCTACAATAGATGTCTCACATAAAATTTATTAAAAACTCAATCGGTAACATTATGAGACTAGACGGGAACCCCAATAGATATCACTATGACGTAAAAATGGCGCTCTTAGATCTTTTACGAACCCTTGCGGAATTATCTTAGATTTTTAGTCTGTGACGCCTACATAAGATACCTACTTAAGGATGTACCTTCGTCATCATCATCTACTTCTCTCTTATCCCATTTATTTGAGGTGAGCATAATGTTTTTCTCCACCATTCATGCCTGTCCGCAGTCATCTCGTTATGCAGGCATTAAGGATGCCTTATTAATACTTTTTCTGCTGGCGCCCTGATCACATATTTAACACTAATCACAATCCATATCTTTTTGGCTAGAATATAAACTGGTATGAAGCAATACGTCGTTGATATTCCAATTATGTCATATGTCAGCATAGACTGATGACTGAGATCACTAAAGTTTCCACTAAGAATAGTAACTGGAGAGGATTTCAAAACGGAAACGCTTTAATTGATAATTTTTGCTCCTTGTTTCCTTTTAACGCATTATTTGTACATACCATATAAATTACAAAAAAAAAATATTTATGCCATTATTTAGTATAAGCACAGATAACATAGTATAAGTATAGTAGTACCGTTAATGTAACAGATTTTTGAATAAAATTTTATTATTTTAAAATTAAAATAATTGCATTTTCGTTATTTTCTTGTTTCGACATTATGACATATTGCAGTACCAACGACAATTGTATATAGGGCAGATACTTCCAAATTATCTGAATTCTATTCTACAGAGTATAGTATCAGATGGTTGTAGATGTTCATGACCTTAATGTCATTATTTTTTTGTCAAAAACATATGTGAAATAAATGTAAAACTGTTTAGTGTGAAGTGGTCTTTAAATACCTACAGCTGTTACAGCTTCAGTCATACCAAAAGTAGACAACTGGGTAGAACCTTATATAATTTAATTATTAATAAAATTAAAATACTTATGGATAACATACATAATTATAATTAATATTTAAAACAAATAAAGGACGGAATTAACGTCGCCGTGTATGTCCAGCCAAAACGTAAAACTACAAATGTGCAGGCTTGATGACTTATTCCACTTTGCACATATGAATCTATTTATTAGTGCCAAAAGTTTGCTTAATAACGTTTATAATAGCAAAATTTTGTTATCATAAACGTTATATCAATTTTAAAATTCGAATGCAACCGTGTGCAAGTAATACATCATAAGATTGGAATCGTCTATGAATCATAGTATCTATGAAAAATGTAAGAATATAATCTGTGTTTGATAACCATAATTTAGGATTTTACTTTATAAAAAATTATATAAAGTTTATTTTCATTTACACTAATATAATATTTTCTAAGAATTAGTATTATAGTTTTGTGTCATCACGCCTAGATTTTTTGCAATGAGGGAAAAAGCTCCATAGATTTTCAATCAAACATGATAATTTTTTTTTAATATCTTAATCGACTATTATAATTATTTTTTTGGAATTGACAGACTTAACATGTTATTTGTTACTTATATTCCGTAACAATTGAAGACTTTTGGAGCAAAAATTTTAAATTAATATTAATTAACATACTAATATTATTATTAGTAATAAAAGCTTAAATCTTTTTCTACCACTCTCTAGGTAATCCTTCTTTTATATGAAAGCCCAATCTATATATATATAAAGAATATCTATTGAAGGCGAAGAGGATTATTAGTAATGGGGTCTAGTAGCCTTATTGCTAGCCATGTTAGGTCGACCTCCACACGGTCCGCCCTGGAAAACATCGTGATTCCTGGTGAAATTGCTACAATGGGCTAACTAACCTGACTTCACGCTCATCCTATCTACAACTGGTACCCCGCCAATGTTTAACGGTAGCGCAGGCAGGTGCATCATTTCATTATCACCTGTAAAAAAAATGTTCATTATAACAGGATCATTTATGTTTAAGAAAGTCTTTCCTCTGCTGCTGTAACTTCTGCTCTAACAACGTGATCTTCTCTTGTGCCTTGCCCGCCTCGCGGGTCATCGCTTGTATGGCTGAGTCTTTACGGGCCACTGCCACCTTCACCCTGATGATGAAAATATAATTATAAATTTGACGACCTCGGTGGTCTAGCGGTTTAGCTTACGGCTTTTGTTCCGATGGTCGAGGGTACAAATTCTGGCACGTTACAAATATTTGAATTCATGAGTATGATTGTTTGTATTGGTCAGGTATCAGTTGCCTAGTACCCATAGTAGACAAGCTGTGTCTACCTTGGTACTAGGCTTTCTGTAAAATGTTCAGGTGTATTATTATTATCAAATATAAGAAACTAAAATAAAATATTTTTTTCAGGTAATTTGAGAAACTAAAAAAACATGCACCTCTGTATTTCAATAACTCTTTCACCTGTAGCTAAGCTAAGCTATATAAGTAAGTAAATTAAAAATAAGCTTAAAAATCCAACTATTTTTATACCTATATAAAAAAATATATGTTATTGTTGTTAATGTGAATAGTATTTCATATATTTAAAGCTTTCCAGGATAAATCTAAACAAATTTCACTCACTTGGCGTACAGTTGATGCATCTGCTCTTCGTGTGTTCTCTTCATCTCTTCTATTTCCTTCTTGAGCGAGTCCACCTTGTCTCGCCACGCTTGGTCTATGCTAGCCCTTATTGCTTCCACCCTTTCTTCCAGTTGTGTATTTTTCTATTAAACACATTTTCGTAAATTATTACAAATATTAAACACAATTCTTAATTACTTGTGTACATATGCAGATTTTTTCTTGACATACAATGCAGCAGATTCACTAAGACATATTTTAATTTTATTTAAGTAATTGGAAAGTTATACTACTCATACATTCTCACTCCGAAGAACTAAGATGTCATGGCATGTCAACCTGCAATCTGTTCAACCTATTGTACTTGATTTCGCAGCGTTAACACTTCATTTTACATTTCATATTTCATAATTAGTTCGCATTTAGTAACCAAGAAGGCAACGTTCTCATTTATAATTAAGCAGATTAATTAACCATTTAAATACACAGTTTTAATCATCAGTATCTTTTAATACTTTCGATACAACGCGAACATTAGTCCTTCGAGCCGGATCTCTGATATTAGATCACAGCAAGCTTATATCAGAGATCCGGCTCGAAGGACAACCGCTAAGTAGCGGTTTGCTTTGTAAGTGTTGAGAGGTGCAAATTACAAAATAATACTAAGTAACCTACCTCTATTAACACTTTATTTCTAGTTTCCAATTGAGACACCGCTACTTCTAATTCTGCACCTGAAACACATATATTATTTCTTTTAATTTGAATTTTTGTTTTTATGTTCACGTAAGGATTGCTTTGTTCTTTTTTTAACATACATCGATCCTCGGTCGTGCGTACGCGCGCCTGCGCATCTTGGTAGCGCCGCAACGTTGCTTGTTCCGTTTCCGCCAATTCCTTCAATTCAGCTTCGTATTGTTCCTTATTTCTCCTAAAACAGTAGGAAAGTTCGGGATATTTAATAAAGAAAGATGGCACATATTTACACATCTAGTTCCAAACTATATATTAGGAATACCATATAATTTCTAGACATATTTCAATAGCATGTTTATCTTTTAAAAAACTACTTATTTTGGTAAATAAATATATAACATATGTAAGAAAACACATAGCAATATAGTTAGTATTGCTATGTGTTTTCTTACAACAATGGAATGGAATGTGTTGGGTTCGAACCGGCGACCGCCGGAAGTAAATCAGTGTGCAAAACTAATGTACCACAAACAGAGGTAGTCAAATCGTCGGTTTAGCAATGTCCACTTGATGGTAAGTGACAACCATCGTCTATATATTATACATGTACATCAGGTACACATTTGACAATACTAAGGTGCTCCGGATACCTAATGACTTATACGTAGGTATAAGTCATTAGGTATCCGTATCTGTTCGGCATAAATGCATATGCTATACCTTATTGCTTCCTGTAGATCTTTCCGTCCTGCTTGTGCTTCTGCCTCCATGCTATCAATTGCACGCTCTATCTCTCTATCTCTTTCCTGCTTATGCTGTGTAGATATCTCCATCACTTTTCGTTTCAGCACCACCTGTTGTTCCGCTTCGAAATCTCGCTTGTACTGCTCAAATTGTTCTTGCATCTCTTTCTCCCTCTCTTTCATTTGTTCCTGTTTGGAATTGAATGTATTTTTTATATTAATAAACTCCAATTACATTTATATATATATATATATATATATATATATATATATATATATGTGTACTTTTAGGTACTAATAGGCTAAATCCTCCTTTTGAGGTATCCTTTATTGAAAAATTTCTAACTTACTTCTAATTTTTCCTTCTCCTGTGAAATATATAATTCTAGTTGAGACTTCTTTTCTTCTAATAACTTTTCCTCTTCTTCTTTCCATTTCTCTGCAATTTGAGATTATTTAAACAACTTATGGCTTATGTGGAGTAATTTTAAAGGTTATTTTGTCGTCTCTTAATACAATAATTTTTTTAACATAACTGTACGAGCTCTTTATAGGGGTTGTTCCTACACTTGTTGATAATGATAATTGATAGTGATAATAATAATCTACGGGGATGATAAATAAAAGACACGTCCCGTAGTGAGCGCTTGATGTTATACACTGATTTATTGTATAGTAATTTATTTATAGTAAAATGATATATGCTACGTAAGTGATAATTTATAAGTATATTATTATTATGGTACGGTGTTCCGTAAACTCTTGTTTCGACATTCTTTTTTCTAGAACCTATTGCTTGTGACGTAGTCTATTTATATTCGTTCTTCTAATGTTGAGACTTAAATTGTAGCGACTGGGCTGCTCTAATCACTATGACTGATTAATTTGTTCCTCAATTGACTATATACTTAAACATTAAGAGTGTATCTTGTGAACTAATGCTATTTGGTAGTCTGTATTCACAAGAAATTTTAAAGAACTTACGTGTAAAAGTAGCTATTGTCATCTTAAACACACCCACACACACTCGCACATACTTGCGCACTAACAAATATAATAATTATTATTTTTTGTCGTATAAGTATTATATGACAATGAAAAGTGTGCTACCCACCTGCGCTAACGGTTTACGCTGGCGGGGCAACAGTGGAAAATGACAATGAGGTCAGGTCAGTTAGCCCATCGTGATAAATTTAACAGGAATTCATGACGATGGTTTCCAGGAGGAATCACGTAGATGTTAATCAGACATGGTACATTGCTAGTAATGAGGTGAAGAGTCAACATTACTAACAATCGGCAATTTCCTTCCCCTCTATTAGGTACCAATGTTACTTTGACTGTTACACTTGACTTCCACGATTAAGCATAGCTTAGTATGGTTTCATAGTTGAAATATTACGTAAATTGTCCAAAATTATAAGTTATTCTTAGTCTTAAAAAAACGGTTTCCGCCTACGATCAGGTGAGGCAATATATAGTTAGCCATACCGAATGAATTTTTAAAAATGGAGTATTATTCTTAAAAAAACGGTTACCTCTTACCTCTTACCATCAGCAGAAAGATACGGATGTTTGCCATTAGAATTAAATACAAAAATATGAATATTCACCGATGTGTTCCCTTTGCGTGCGTTCTCGCTCGCTGACGTCGGCGGCATTTCTCTCGGCTTGTGCTCTCATCTCGCCCACCAGCCGCGATCGCTGCTCCTGGTACGTCAGCTCCAACTCCAGGATCTGCTTCTCCATTCTGACACAATCCGACCACACTTGTTAATAAGGATGGGATGCTTATTTCTAATTAAACGGAGGAGAACGAAGATTTTTAGTAATGATGAATGATTGATGATCCCATTGCTAGCCATGTACCATGCCATGTTGACCTCCTCGTGGTTCCTCCTGGGAGCCATCGTGATAATTTACTTGTGAATTTGTCACGATGTGCGAATTAACCGACTTCATACTTATGCTATCATAGTCCACTGGTGTCCCGCCAGCGTAAACCGTTATCGGAGCCATTCCATCATCTACGATTAAAAATAAAATCCACGCTAAAAAAAATATTCTGATGTTTCTAGATGCGAATGATGATGTATTCCGCCTGAAGAGGGAACGTCTGGCCTAATTATATGTACTCTTCATGTACAACAAAAGGGATTCACGTAGATGGACGACATATGCCAATAATATTAAAATAAACATGAATAAATCTGACTATAGACATAACATTGCTGGTAGATAGAACGAAAAATAACAATAATAAAAATTCATTCAAAAATTTAAGAAAGCTAAGAAGTTGGGGCTAACTGTCCTGACCTCATGCTCATATTATCATCCACCACTGGTGCCCCATCCGCATAAACCGTTAGCGCAGATCGGTGGACCATTCCACTACCATCTATAAAAATGCTAAGAAGTTACTGTCAACAGTACCTGGAGCTGGCCAGCTGTCGTTCCTTGACCAGCGCGTCCTCCTTCTCCTGTTCGAGGGTCCGCCGCAGTTCCTCGAGCTGCGCGGTGTGCTGCGCCTGCGCGCGACCACTCTGCTCTGCGTGGAACATCTTCAGATCCGACACCTCCTTCTGCTGACGTTCTGCCATCTCCCGCAATTCACCTTCCAATCCTTTTACGGTTAATTCCTGATGACATTACACGTGTAACGTTTGATAATTGCAGGTTGCATAATAATAATAATAGATTAATAACTTTGAAACATTTTTTTTATAAAATTACACTACTCATTCGAAAATCAAACTCACAACAAGAAGAACGAGAATAAACTTTAGTGTTGCTCTTTTAAATAAATGTTGTTTAGCAGTAGCGATTCCTCCAAATCATTGTGATAATCTCCTGGTGAATTTACCACGATGGGCTAACTGACCTGACCTTATACTCATCATATCTTCCTCCACTGGTGCCCAGCCAGCGTAAACCTTTAGCGTAGACGATCCAATACTATCAACCGAGTTTGAGATAAAAAAAAATATACCTTAATTTTCTCAGCCTTTTGCCGTACCCAGCGTTGTCGGGCAACCTGCAAAATTATTACATTTAGTTAACTATACCATCTGGGAAAACTGTCATGAACTGATATTAATATTTGAAGTACTGTTATAAATGAAATAAAGTTTTTAGAATCATTATTAAATAATGTATAGGATGTAACGGAATATTTAGTATGATTTTATTATTTATTTATGAGCTTCAGATATTTCAAAGCTATTACAAGCTTCCTGGTCACAAAGGGACTGTCAATAACCCACTTCGAACCCATAGCCATACCATTCTCGCGGTCATATTGGCTACTGCGACAGTGGACATCTGCAGTGTCGACTGTCAATAGTCGATAGCTCATTAATATCATAATCCCAGTAAATGTACAATTACATGTGTAGAATGTTGTGATCACCTGCTGAGCGGCGGCCATTTTGTCGTGTTGGTTTCTCAATTCCAACTTATACCGCTCTTCAAGCGCTTGTGCTGACCGTTTCCAGCGCTCTTCAAGTGAACGCCTCTCGTCCACTAGCTGCTCAATACGATGATTCAGGGTTTTCTTGTCATTTATTAGCTGTAGACATACAAAAAAATTGAAGTATATAATGCATATTTGTGCATAAATATAAATTTACAGATAAATTATACAAAATTAAAAAAAAAATAATCTACTCATATTAATTTATTTACGTAAAAATAATTTCTATGCATTTTTAATTAAGTATGTTTGAAAATTCAGTAGGTATTGTATATTTTCTTACGGCTTTGGTAGGTTTAGAATGCCACCATATTTATGATAGACGTGGGTTTGAATATCGCAGGATATGGGTGTACATTTGTATGTTCATGAGTATAACTGTTTATTGTATATGTATATCCCATCAAAAACATAAATGTGAAATGATAGCCGAGTTTAATATTATAATATATGCCTTGATTGTTGACTTCTACGACAAAAGAGATGAGATCTAAATGGGTGCCAAGTTCAATGGTCTGTCCTGAAATGTATTTATAAGAATATAAAATATCATTTCTTCTTATAACTTAGGATAATATACTGTAGCCTAAGGTCTAACTTGGCCAGTTCTCATATACCAATTATTACTTTCGATTGCTAGTTACTACTAATATTAAAATAGGGACCGACAAGTAACATGTTTAGAACTTGCGAAGGCTACAGTATATTTCGTATATGAAAACTAGCCAAGTTAGACCTTAGGCTACAGTATATTATCCTAAGTTATAAGAAGAAATGATATTTTATATTCTTATAAATACATTTCAGGACAGACCATTGAACTTGGCACCCATTTAGATCTCATCTCTTTTGTCGTAGAAGTCAACAATCAAGGCATATATTATAATATTAAACTCGGCTATCATTTCACATTTATGTTTTTGATGGGATATCATTACTTTTTGTACATAAATTATACGAGGTACTTATTTATAACTAAATTAATACCAAATTATTTTTGATAAATTACTGTATTTTCGTATATTTACGGGGTATAATTGTCTTTTTTTTGTGTTATTTTCTATATTTTCTTGTAACTTTTAAATGTTCAAGTGCAATGCCAATTCAGGAATTTTTGGGCAAATCGGGGCAGTATAACGTCCACAGATGGTTGTACTCTACAATAGAGCTCTCGTGACTTGGATCTAAATTGTTAAGACGTACACCATCTAAGGTTTTACCTCTGGAGAGTCCAACGTAAACCTGCCCTTTATTAAATATAGAGGAGCCTATGTTGAGAAGAGGACTGCCAAAACTAAGGCCTTGTGATTTGTGGATAGTAATAGCATATGTTAAGCAAATACGGAATTGTTCTCTTTCAACATATACATTATTTAATATCTGAAACTTCGTATTGACACGTTCTAGTTCATAAAGACGATTATGTAACAAATTAACTGTTATCTATTGAATTCTCAAGAAAACAATTTGTTACCAATGAGTTCTCATTCTCGCGTTAACTATACATTCCTACTTATAACTGTACTAAAATTATAATTAATTTTTGGTTTAAACTATTATCTATACCATACGTATTTACTAAAACAATGTAATAATAATATAACCACAAATATATATGTATAATTTAAGAAAACTATGAATTTCGTAGCATAAATACCAACCTTATAGGTTAGTTCAACGTTTTATCGCACCGCTCCCACACGGCGCCGTGGCGCCCTATACCGATATGCCTATTATTTAATAATTATTTATAAAAATAATAATCTTACACTATCGATGTGCGCTAAATATTGAAACAATAATTAATACGAAATCTCAGTTAATAACATAATAAATACAAAATTCGACTATACTCCTAGTTATAAGTACGAGTATATTTTAGACAGAATCTAAATTATAGCAACTAGTGTTTACCGCTCAATGCAATATTTGAAGTTTGCTAGTTATCGACACTGATGTGAAGGGGTCAACGTAAATTGGTGGCTATCGACGTTTTCATAGAATTTTAGTATTCGTCCAGTATAAGTTGAAATAGAATCAATTAAAGTGAAAAATTGTAGTAAAATGATAACAATTTACCAGTTTCAGTTTTTCCTTTATATTCACCTAATTACCTATCTGCATGCCAAATTTGAACTTCCTAGGTCATCTGGAAGTGGGTTATAATTTTGATCTATAGTTGATCAGTGATAAAAATGACGATTTTTGGACATTAATATCTAAATAACCGTTTGAGATATGTTTATGAAATTTGGAACACATATTTATCTCGTAAGTCTCAATATATGAACCAAATTTGACAGGTTTATGTAAAAGAGTTTTTGAGTTATGAGGGGGTCAAAAGTGGCTCCAAATGGTTCGTGTAAATATACACACGGTGCTGCTAGCCAGTTTACTTGAAACTCGGCTTGACACGCTACCGCGTGTCTAGATTGCGTATTATGTATATATTTATTTGTATGAGTTGTCTAGTACCCATAATATAAACTCTGCTTAGTTTGGGACTAGACTAGATGGTGCTGTGTGAATTATCCTTAGATATTATGGGTTGAAGTCACCCAATATGGATTAAGTGTATACCTGGTCAATGAAGTTCTGGTGGCGTTTAATCGTCTCCTCGCACTCCTGCTTCACCTTAGACACGTTGCGCAATGACTGCTTCTCCAGGTTACTCACTTTACTGGCCATCTATAATGTGTATAAAATCTTATATATAAAATTCTCGAGTCACAATGTTAGTTACCATACTCCTCCGCTTGATCGATTTTTATGAAATTTTATATGCATATTCAGTAGATCTGAGAATCGGCTACTATCTATTTTTCATACCCTTAAGTGATAAGTGTCGGCCACACCTAACATTTATTTCTTGGACCATTTATTTTTTGTTTTTTTTTTTATAACGTAAGATTAAAAAATAAATACAACCTTAAATTTACACCCTTCTATCACCAACTCCTATTTTTTAATAGCGATTTTAATTTATATGACATAATAACGGCGTCAGCTAGTAAAACTATTTACCATAACTTAGATTTTTTTAGAACACTTTTGGCCGCAGCCTTTTCAGCTTCCCCTATTGATAGGGGGCGGGTGCTGGCGTCACTACAAATCTGCGAAGGACTTTGGAGTGGCTGAATGCCAACTCCTGCCTGACGGATACGACCATAATCTAAGGGCACCGCTTTGGGTTGTAACCTTGGCTCCAGGAGTGCTAATTCCGATACTCGTTTGAATTGGACGGGGAGTTAGTTGGAACGAGACAATATTCCGCAGTATGTATTTGAAGATACTTATTTAGATAACTTGAAAAACATAACGTAAAACATTTTTATTATATTAGTTTATAAAAACGAATGTATTATAATATATTTGTTCAACCGTTTAGTCTAGTGTAGTAACTATTAGACAGACAGACAGACACTTTATGGATAAGTAACAATTTTATGTAAGAAAACGTATGGCTGATATGCATTAGCAACAGTTCAAGTAATTCAAAAGTCATCATGTCATGACGGTATTGGTACATAAAAATGTGGGTTATAATAAATAATTTTAGTGTTTCCATCACAGACAAAGGACTTTCAATCTACCTAACTAAAAAAAAATACCTGTTCTTTATGGTTGGCGAGGCTCTCCTGCAACAAAGCGATGCAGCACGATCTCTCCTCGAGCTGAAGTGATGCTGTAACCAGTCGCTGCGCGAGCTCCGTTTGCGGTAATTTTAGTAGTAGTTCCAGTCTGAATATAATTATTAAATCAATTAATTTATTGTGTAAATTCTGGTATTACCTCTGTAGTTGTTATCAGGTGGAGCTATTTAGGATCATTGACCTCAAAAATTGATGTTAATATAGATATTCAGAAGTCAATGATGAAATTTTGTCTTATAAATTTTCTCCACTAACATCCATGGATGTCGAACGCTCCTTTTCAATATATATGTGTTAGATGTATAACGAAATAGATTATAATTAGAACATTTTGAAAAAAATATGGTGATTTATTTTAACTCAAGTAATACTCAGTCTTCTAGTCAACCTGAAGACCAATAATTAAACTATTGACTTTTTTTGTTTCAATAAGTAAATTATTGTTTAAATGTGTTAGATATTCTAATTAAGATTTTATTTTAGTCAAATACAAATAGTTTGTTCTTTTCAATCTTGTTCCGATTTATGAGGCACAAATAATTTGTGTCAATTCCATAGATATTTCTATTATTCTTATAAAAAAAAATATATAAAAAATATAAAAAAGTATTACACTATAAACAACTTACTTTGGTACAGTTTGAGGTGTGGTACTAGTTACTACTGATAACGCAGCATTAGCGCTTTGTTCCACCTTTTCCAGAAATTCGAAAATCTCCCTGGAAGTATTAAATGAATTTCATAAGTAAAAGATACCTTAATAAGATTTTAACACTTGCTTAATGAAGTTGGATGGGAGAAGAAATTTGATATTGGTTGGGTTAAAGAAATTGTGATTTTTTCCGCATTTAAATAAATGAGCTTTAACAGTTTAAAGAATTTAAGTATTAATACTGCGTATTAATGCGTAGAATAAAGAAGAAGAATTTGGAAATTATAATTGAGCCTTGAAAGAATGATTGTAGTTAATAAAATCAAGGTAGGAAAAAACTAACATAAAGTTATCTTTAGTTGCTGTATCCTCTTCTTGTGTATTTTCTGAAGGGTTAGGCATGTCAACACTAACTGTTGAGACTGGATTGTCCCCGTAACTCTCGATTTCTTTCAACATCGAATAAATATCAAACACCGTAGAATTTGTGTTCAATTCTTTTGGTTTTGATTCTTCATTTCCTGTTTTGGAAGGAGTTGGTTGTGTGTAATCATTTTTTTCAATAGTAGACTCATCTCCATGCGATTTAGGATCAGAATTTACATGGGTTATTATAGGAGGTTCCACTTCATTTATTTCCAGAATTCTTGGAGAAGGTGCAGACAGAGACATCCAAGAATCAATATCTTTGTCATTCTGTACACTCTCAATTCTAGCGCTCAAAGGCACACGTGCACTGTAATTTGTTTTTTGAGTCTGATTTCTAATATTCACTGGAATAGTAGACTTAACATTACTTTTAGAATTCCTATTATTCCACTCTTGTTTAAATGTGGAACTCTCCCCAAACTTCGTACTTATGTTGTCTAATTTTCTATCAGTTTTTCTAAGGTTTTTAGGAATACCCTGGTAACCCTTGGTATAATCTCCTTCTTTTACTTTTAAATAATTTTGTATTAATTCCTTAGTGGATACTTTGGATATATCTCTACTATTATTGTCAAGAGAGTTATTTGTATCTGTATTCTTTGCAGTTTCACCAGCAACATCAGAACTTTCTCGTGATTCATCACTACAGTCTTTCTTGTCTTCTATAAAAGGACCTGATGGTTCAAACATTTTGTCAATATTCAATGGTGTTGGAGAAATTGGATCCGTTTTTATGTCTTTCAATGTTAACTTGTGTAAACTGTTAATGGCCTCTAATTCTTTTTTATAATCTTCAATAACTTTTGATGTGTATGCTTTCGTGCTGCTATTCCTTAAATATGATGGATATTCCAAATTTTCTGTTTGTTTTTCAGGTTTCACACCATCTATAATTTCATTAGTTGAAGGGACATTGTTAGTGTTTTCTTTATTTGGCGAATTTTGGGGAGGCAAAGCTTGATGACCTTCTTTTTGTAAGAAAAAATCTTTGTATAGTAAACGACTATGATTCAGAGGTTCTGTCCATTGTGATTTTTTGTCCAATGGATAAGTTTTATGATAGCCTTTATCATTACTATTTGTTGAAACGCTATCCAAACTTTTAGGCTGGTCTTCTATTTTATTGTAAGACTTAGATTTTTTTAATAATGATGAAGACGGCAGAGAATAGGTTTGACCATAATTTTTATTATCATTTGCTGCACTATCTGGATAACCTGAATCTTTAGAAGATGAATCAGTATATATTACTGTGCTAGACATTTTGGATTTATAAGGGTCTAGAGGGTTTATGTGGAAATCATCATAAAAGCTACTATATGTTCTTGGTTCATAGTTCTGAGATTTCGTATAATCTTCCTTGTCAATTACATATGTATTTCTTCCTGTAAAATTTTCCTCAGTATCACCCTCTTTAATATTCCTAGGCTGATCTAATGAGTTTTCTGGAGACAAACTGGGCATATGCTGGGATGGGATACTCTCCAAGTCCTGTGTTGACTCTTCTTCTACAAGAGATAGTTGTTGTTTGGTAAGTGTCAGGCGTTTAGAATATTTATCAATAGCTTCTTCAACCTCTGCTTGTAAATTATTAGGACCAAAAGAGATGCAATCTGATAAACCACATTCAATTGCTTTGCTCTCAGCATCTAGAGGTACAAAATAAGATTCATAAGCTCTACTTTTAAAATGAGTGGCACCATGATCATACATTGCCTCATTTCTAGTAGGTGACTGTATCCTTAATGGCCTCTCTGTTATTTTAATCTCCAATCCATAGTCAGGATTGTTTTTCTCTTCATATGTATTGGTGTCCATAACTTTACGACCTTTTTTCACTATGTTTCTGTATTTCAAAATAGTTTTTGGGTTTGTAATCTTTGGTTTTGGACTAGATTGAGCCCTCACTTTGATTTTAGTTCCTAAGCTGATAAAGGTGTCTTCAGAACCATAATCAGAAGCATTACTACATACTTCTTTGTCTTTTTTAAATTCCTGATTGTTAGCTGATGTTGTGACGCCAAATAGATCAGTGGTAGGTGGTACTATCTTAACATGGGTTGGCGAGTCTGAAATTTATATAGAATATAAATTATTATCAGTTTCCACTTTCAAAGAATATTATTATATCAATTAATAAATTAGTCTAGGTAATCTAATTAGTTAATTTAGAATTTAGTTTAAGAGTAGACTATATAAATTTAGAAAACCTGTTCTAAAATGTATTTAATTATAAATATATATATTCGCACCACATATAATGCAGTCACTTTCTGGAGACTTTATGACAAGTAAGTAATATTTACTATTTTTTAAAATAAACACTAATAATCTTATAAGTATGTATGCAAAGTTAATAAACTTGAAAAATATATATATACCATGACAGCAACAATTGTATTGTCTCCTTAGCACTCACACTCTGATAAAGACTCAGCTTGAAAAAGACTTCCAGTTGAAGACATAACAATTGCAGCTAAGATGAGCACATACTTAAACATACTTCATTAAATTTCCATAAATTGTTATAAAAATATTAGTATAAAAATGAACATCAGTTATACAAATAATACAAACATACTCTTATAAGATTGGATTAAATCAGCAGTAAATGTTTTCAAGAAACTCCTTGTTGATGGCGACCGCTCCTTAGTATCAGCCGAAAATGGTCTTTTGTATCTTTCCGGAATATCCTAGGAAAATGTAATATTATTTCAATCATGTACACCATTTTTACAAGAGAATAAAAATATTGTTATATTAATTTAATATCTATACAGTAATATATTTACTGCTTAACAATTAGATATATTAGAAATACAAAATTAGACTATAAAGGCATTTAAGACGGTTATAGTTGGCTGGAATATTTTCAGTAAATGATTGCTTTATGATCGTTATTTGGAAAAATGTTATTTAATTTTTTTCCGGATATTAATCCATATTATGTTAGTGAACACTACTGACTGTTAGTGAATACCAATTATCTGTGGTGAATACTAACATAAATTATATTAGTATAATGTTAACAATATATATATATATATATAGATGTTATACTATTACACAATACAGAAAAAAATACATATTATACAATTATTACCGGCGTGAAAGAAGTGTTCTGAAGTGCAGATCGTGGTCTATTTCTTATATTCTTTTTATCGTCTCTTTTCTTACTCCGATAAGAAAGGTTTACCGGTGACCCAAGCAATCGGAGGGTTGGATTCTCTTTCGACATTTCAAACACATTCCAACTGCAAAACAAATGAAAAGGCTTCGCACATTAATAAAAATATAACAATCCAACATTCGAAAAGAATTGGCTTCGTTTGTTTGTTGTTATTAGACAATACCCGTTGCTTAGCAACTGCTGACAACTCATGCTCTGACTCTGTGCCACAGATCAAAAATACTACTCTGTGCTGCTTCCAATGACACCTGTCCGCAGAGCTATAATAATTTTGCCATTGCCATTTCTAAAATAATCTACTAAAATAGTAATTAAACTTCATTTCTTATAAAAATATATTCCGCTTATAATAGTAAAACAATCTTTTGTTATATAATTCATGACACTATTATTACGAAAATAAAAATTAGTAATGTTTTATACACATTGTATAAGAGAAATAACATTTCTCAGTGTTATAATAAAACGCAATATATGTCGTCAGCGATAAAAATACAAGGGTTCATGTATCAACCGAATGAAAAATGTACCGTTCGAGTTTCTGCGTCGGCGTAACGATATAGAGTCGTAGTTGGCTAGTTGGACCTTGAAGGGTATTTTGATCGTACCTTATTACGGCGTAGAGACGTAACTCGTTCTTTATTGTGAATCATTTGTGCGATATATTATTTATTTATTGATTTTGTGATATAAATTGCTTGGTTTTTTTTAAATTGTGTATATAAAAACGACGTAAACATGTTCAGCGGAATCGCAGGTGAGTTTTATAAGTCTAGTATAGGAATTATTAAGTAACAAGTTTAAAAATATTTACGTAAATTCCAATTATATTAAAAAATAATGCTATAAAAATAGCTAAAATAGATCCCATTTTATAATTGGAATTATACTAATTACCTTCTAATAAAAATACTATTTTTGTAGAGAACAAATTAATTTATTGTCTTATTTCCGCATGTACACCATAGTTATAGTATTCGCATACTAATTTACCTAACTAGTGATTTAATACAATATTTGCATTGATTACTTTTATACAAGTACATAGAGTAGTAGTTCAGTAGTAGTAGACAAATAGCAATTTTATTATTACTTACTATTTTTTTCTTAACTTATGTGTATTACCCTACAAGTAAAATAAAATAGTTTTTCATTTTATACGCCAGAGTAGTTTAGTTTTCTTACAATTACGTAAATAGCACAATTTTTTTTCACTTTTATACTCTTTGTACCTTTTGAAATTATTCATATTAAAGGTCAGACGGGTCGCATACGGAATGCCTTGACCAGTGACCATATATTTTACTATGTAGTACTTATACCTACAGACAATAACACAACAGGTATATCAATATGTTATGCAGTTGTAATATATTTATAATCTATCTACTATTGGCTATATAAATACATAATACAACAGAAAAAATATTAATTTTCATAAAATAAATTTTATTTCAAAAAAGTAGTTGCGTGATCTGAGAACAAAGAAATATTTCATATTACAACCAAGTTCGAGATCTGCTAATTTAGAATAGTATTGTACATTGTTTCGCATACAGAATAATGATAGTATCACTGTGTTTTCATTGTTATACTTCCATTTTATATAAAACTAGCACCCGCGACTTCGTCCGCGTGGAATTTAACTTTATTTTTCTAAAATAAAAGTAGCTCTAAGTTACTTACGACTTTTTAAAATTATTTTTGTCCGGTTTGTTTTGAAGGTAGGCCATCCCCATATGCATCTTTAAAGAGTCATGTTCAAAAATGATTGTCTACTCTAACAAAATAGTGTTTTATTACTATGGTAATAGGGGCCCCCTTATCCTAACGTGCCCAGGGCTTCTAATAGGTAAAAGACGGCCCTGAAGTTACTCTTTTTACATCAGCTACTTGCCAATAAAAGTCCCGTCAAATCGGTCCAGCCATTTCAGAGATTAGCTGGAACAAACAGACAGACAGACAAAAATTGTAAAAAATATTACTTTGGTGTATGTACCGTATTTAAATTCATATACATGTAGTAAAAAACTGTTATTTCAATATTACAAACAGACACTTCAAGTTTATTTATATGTATAGATTTGCCTAAAGATAGTCAATAAGAATTATATGTTATGAAATTAAACTACCATACCGATATATGCATAACACAACCGTATCGACTTGTTTATAAGAATCATAATACAATTGCGTATTCAATTAGTCATCATTATAAATATATAAATAAACAATGGAGACACCATTTTTCGATATCATAAATATGATGTCAATTACGCTTTAAACTGGGTATATTTTCAAACATTTAGTTGGCTAATGGTTCTATTGATAACTAGCAATTCAGAATCTATACATGAACGCAAATAATTCAATTAGCGAAAACAGCACCATACCGTGTAAGGACATTGTCTCACAGAGCGTTAAATACATAATTAGGACCTACCTATGTATTTTAATAGATTATAATGGTATGGTGCACCCGCCTGCGGTAACTGTTTACGTTGGCGGAGCACCAGTGGAGGATGATAAGATGAACATGAGGTTAGTTCAGTTAGCCCATTGTGCCAAATTCAATAAAATATAAAAAATGTTATAGATATTTTATTAAACGATTAATGTTAACATAGGAAAAAACAATTATTACAATGAATCAAAAGGTTTTGTTCCTTTTAGTTTTCTTAATAGGTCAGTATTATTTGCTCATATAAAGTGAAATAATACCTAAATAGCGTCATCAGCGACATAAACAGAACTGAAATGGTCAAAGATAATCTTAAACGGATGGAAAAGAGTGCAATTATACATAGCTACTTACATGACCTGCTGATTGCGTGACCCAGCATCAATTAAGATGACGCGTTCAGTAAACTAATTATAGAATATAATCACGCGTATAGAAGTGATTCACAACTAACACCTATTTTCCGTAACATGTACACGTATGGAGCTGATACTGTGACAAACATTATAAATTTAATACGAGCATAAAATTATGTTTTCTCATACAATAGGTAATTGGGAAGACAAATAAACATTGAGCTTACATCAAAAATTCGCATTGGTTATTCATTCCATAGAATTATAGGTGTTAAACAGTTAGAATACGTACCAAGGACCAAGTCACGTCTCTCACATAAGACATTCCATCTTCCGGTCGAGGCGACGTAATATATTTGTACATAAGCTGTAAACAAAGCACTGGAATTTTTAGAATTTATTAGGCAGTGATGGTTATAGTATCACGGTAGACGTCTCTGTTACATGTGCTAGATATATTATGCAATAAATTATAAACCACACTTAAAGTCAGTCTTAAGTGTCTTAACCATCTCCCGCGTTACTCCATTGCTTGCTGATCCGGACTAATTTAGTGTTTTTACTTTTTTAATTTTTACGTAAGTAACATTGCACTTATTAAATGTTTTAATTTATTATATCCATATGTATGTATAGTATTGTCTTAAATATTTAAATAATCACTACGGTACGGCGACAATTTATTTCTATTACTATTTATGAGTTATTATTTCTGCTTATTAGGTATGTTATCCATTTTTCTTTTCTAAATGTTAAATTTCAATTTTAGTTATGCGGTACGGACAGTAGTAATGTAAATAAATGCATTCGATTGAACAAAATATTTTTGCGTTTTGTGGATTTCTCAACTTGATAAACGTAGTGATAACTTGCTTTCTTTTTCAACCTTCCAATTCGGTTTTCATCTGGAACTGTCACATGGTATATACTTTTATTTTAAATTTATTTAACATAAAAACTATTGCCTTCTAGTAGAGAAAGTAAGAATCACACTAGTACTTAAGTATTACCCACCTGCATCCACTTCTTGTGGAGTACCTACTCAAGCACTAAATTGCAAATGTCACTGCATTTATATTTTATAACATAGATCTAACAGTATCAAAATAAAATTAATATCACTCACTATCTGTACTTATGATTTCTTCTGCAAATTTTCTTATTTTTTTTTAATAGGACCTTATGAACCATACTTTGTTCGTTTTTTATATGATTGAATATGAAATGGTGTAAGCCCTTTTTTTCTATTTTTGTACTTGGAAAAAATCCTTTTACTATACACTAGCTGGCCACCAGAGAAAAATGGTAGAATGGGTAAAGAAGTCAGGTCGATTAAACCATATGAGAACCAAATTCATACGATTCTATATAGCTAGCATAAATAGGCACCGGTCTAGAATTATTTTGAGTCATTTATATAATATCATCACAAGGGAAAAAGAGAACAGAGCCTAGAAAAGTACGTTAAATAATTGGGTAGTAGGTAACTATTTTTTTATAAATGTTTACAATTACTTATTTATTTATTCATTTGTATTCCGTAGTGTTACAATATAGGTTGACATAATATTATAAGAGCACTATAGACCCTGATTGGCGCAGCAAGTTACATACTTAATAATAACTTTTTTAAATTCTTCCTGTAGCAATATTATTTTTCTATATTTATTATTTTCAGAACAAATATTTTATAATCAAAATATAGGTTTTAAATAAATATTTATATATTTCTATTATAGGTTTCTTTGTTTCGAATGTAAGTTTCGCCCACATGTACAGTTCCCTAAGCCAAGAGCTTAGGGATTCATACATGTGGGCGAAAACGCGTGTAGATACTAACGGGCTGAGTGCATCCGCACTGGGAGCGCTGAGGTCAGGGTCGATTGTCTGCTGACGCTCTATTGTTCATGCTTCGTTCTGTATTTAGGGTGTTACCGAATTATACCATTCTCTTCTACAGAGCACACTGTTGGTTATTCATACACAAAGAAATACATATCTTGGTAACATTAAATAATTAAAAAAATAACATTTCATTTTATTTATAGCATTTTTTTTTAATTTACTTTTTTACTGCATGTAATATATATACTACGGAATATTACGGGTACTAAGGAAATTTATGGACCCCTAATAATGTTTACTAAATTAAACTGTGACCAAAGTGGTAAAGGAGTTCTAAAAGCTTAATTTACACAAAACGGAATACTTGCATTCAGCAAGTTTTCCAAAGCATTATTTAAGAATTGACGTTTGTTTGAAAGACATAATGATATTTTAGACACGAAATTCCATCGCTAGTATTATATATAATACATCTACCATAATTCTAAGCCCTTTATTTTTTTTTAAGTAAAACAAAACATAAATAATGTGCTCTAGAAGGGAATGCAGATAAATTAGTAGCACCCTATATAAGATTCGTAGAATGCAATCATCACGCTAATTAATGAAGGGTGACGATAAAAGGTGACGGCCGCAGGACGTCTCATAATATCTCATTTGTTATGTCTGTGGAATTTATGAGTGCTAAACATTTGTACGTAGGTGGAATTGGCGGTTGATACTATACATATAACGCGTAGTACGTTATTATTAGAGGCGATCCATAAATTGCATCACAAGAATTTCATTGTTTTTACCCCTCCCCCGTCATTGTCACAAGTGGTCACATTTGTGACTCCTCCCCTTCTTAGTAGATGTGACATTTCCTAATTTTACACTAACAAATAAGAAGTAAGATAGGATGAGCATGTAGTCAGTTCAGTTACCCGTTTTTTTTTTATGGATGATGATGGATGTTGCTCCCGACAGCGCTAACGGTTTGGGGTGGCGGGGCACCAGTAGAGGATGATAGGATGAGTATGAGGTCAGGTTAGTTAGCCCATCGTGACAAATTGCTAGGAACTTATCACGATGGTTTCCAGAGGGAACCAGGAG